AAGTGCGCAGTTACGGAGCTCTGAACTCACGCTTATTCTCCAAAACCCCCATGCGTGCTTTGACCCATTTCGGTTGCGATCGCCGCCGCCGCCGCTGCCTCCATGTTTATGTTGGCAATATCGCCGCCTCTGAGTTTTTGATGCATTGAAGCCGAAGTTTTAGATCACGTTTTCAGTTTCTCTTGAAATGCTTGGCCAACCATCTCCTCGAGTTTCGAATGATTGTGCTGACGTCTGTAGTCGAATCGTGGGCGGACCCGAAACGAAGCACCCGACAAGACGTTAATGGCCACATGCAGAAGGACCTCCCTTTCCTGTCAAAAACCAAAATAACGGCAGCGGTTTACGGTTTATTTTCCTTAGACACGCTATCTGTGGCTGGGATAATTAAGGGCACAGAGTATGCCGTATTTGTTTCAGTCCGAAAGCCAGCATGAAAACCAAGTGAAATTTGTAGGCGATATTGATGGATGAAAGTTGCGAGCTTTCAGTAGGCGTATTATTAACGACTCTATCCACATGGCTTGCATCGAGCACAATGCTTTCTGTCCGTTCCATTATCAAGCCCTAATCCAATGTGATCGTCATGGTTGTATTTTAAGCCGTTATCGGTGGTTCTTATTTGGCTTGCATAAATAATGCCAACCCGAGCTTTGTGGAGAAGTCCATCTTTTTGAAAAAAAACAGTCAGTTACCCCTTTATTTGTGCATCGGGTAAATCTACGGGAATATCCCTAACCATTATAATTCATTATAATCCATTATCATTCAATGGAAACAAGGGAAAGTATGAATTTCGATTACTTTTGCAAAAAGTATGAATTTGCCCATAGTATTCGGTGAACATCAAGCGTCCTCTAAGCGTGTCATCACACTTAGAACGGTCAGTTTCGTAAGATAACCACGGATGTCCCTTGCGACTACACATATGAGGACGTGACAGCCATCGCCGCCATCACGCCGCCCGCGAGTTCGTTCGGCGCCACCAGCCGGTCTCCACTCCTCTAAATCAGAGAGAGGAGATACAATTAACCGGGCAACCATGTACACGGCCTGTACACCCAGTAGGAGCGCAAGCGCCTACAGCGACAGGGAATCAGATCCAAGAAAACTGCCAGTGCACACCAGACCGTGAGGGCTATGGTTAGCTAAAGTGTGGCATAGCATACGCACACAAGCCTTACATTTCAGAAGGGTGAGAAACAGCCCTGCACGTAGCCTAGAAAATCCTCTGTTCCTGTATATTTCAACAAAACTCATACAGTGATTCCTTCTGCGTTCCCAACAACACAGTGTGTATATTCGAGTCGGCGGTGGAACATGATCTTTAAGAATTTCCGAGGGCATAGAGGGTATTCCTGACCTCTCGGCGGGATCGAATGATAATGCTGACGCCTGTAGTCGTATCGTGTGTGGGACTGAGACAACACTCGACAAGACACTAATAGCCGCATGCAGAAGGACCTCGCTTTCCTGTAAAAAAATCCAAGCTAACGGCAGCAGTTTAGGGTGTATTTTCCTTAGACACGTTATCTGTGGCTGGGATAATCAAGAGTACATAATATGCCGTATGCGTTTCATTCCGAAGGCCATAATGACGTCCACGTGAAACGTTTGTGAAATGTTGATGGATGCCAACTGTGAGCTATCAGTAGGCCTATTTTTAACAACGCCATCTGTATGGTTTGCATCGAGGGCGTAAATTTTTTTAGAAAATTCCACTGCGTACAATGATTTCTGTCCGTCTCACTATCAAGTCGTCATGGTTAGTATTTTAAGTTTTTACCAGTGTTTCTTATTTGACTTGCATAAATAATGGCAACCCGAGCTTTGTGGGGAAGTCCATCTCTTCAACAAAACATTTGATTACCTCCTTTATGTATGCATCGGATAGATTTCTTGGATTATCACTAACCGCGGTTTCCCTTATAATTCAATGAAAACGAGGAAAAGCATAAGTTTCCATAGCTTCTGTAAAAAATTTACGGATTCTCCCATAGTAATCGGTGGACATCAAACGTCCTCTGGAACTGTACTTGCAAATCGGATCCCATGACCACCAAACTACTACCGGAAGTTATATCCACGCACTCGAGGTAGAGTAAATACTTTGCTCAAGCATTTTATAAAGTAATAGGAGGAGGATGACTACTGATGTTATTC